CAAGAGGCCCAATATCTGACTGACAATTTTCTAGGGATTCCAGAGAAAGCAGAGGGGAGTTAATTATCAAAGAAATGAAGTGAGGATATTTCACACTGAAGGACATGAATCTCAGAATGAGAGGGCCCGATACAAATGAAAAAGAACCACCCTAAGGCATATCATCACAAAATATCAGAATACCAGGGATAAAGAGAAGATCCTAAAAGTTTTGGAGGTGGGGAGAACAGATTATATACACATCATCAGGAATCAGAATGGTTTCAGATACCTCCGTGGCAGCACTGGAAGCTAGAAGATGAGGGAGCCATGCCTTCAAAATTCTGGTGGAAAATTATTTCCAACCTACTATTCCATATATAGTCAAGGAAATTAGAAGTGAGCATAGAATAAAGACATTCTCAGACATGCAAAGATATAAAAATTTTACTTCCTATGTGCCCTTTTTTAGGAAGTGACTAGAAGATGTGTTTCACCAAAATTAGGTCATAGACCAAGATAGAAAAGAATTGCAAACCAGGAAGCAGGTTCTTCAACATAGTAGGACAGGTATGCAGCTGGTCTAGAAAGCAACCAGTCCCAAATTGAAAGGGAGGAGGAAAGGCTCCAGGAGGTGGATCACTAGGAAAATAAAAGTAGCTGATAGCTTATATGACTATGTGGACAAAGCATTTTACAGATCTGCTAGAATGTTTGAGGAGATTTAACAATATGTACATAGAATTGAAGGAAAAAGAGGCAATTATTAACTCCAGGAAAAACAAAAATATGTACAGAAAATAAATGTAATTATAGTATACCATTTGGTTCAGCAATGGACAATATAAAGTCATAAGAGTGTATAGCCTAAAAGAAAGAATGTAACCCCCAAATTTTAATTTAAGAATTTAGAAGTTGCGATAAAACTATATGAAAGGATGCAGAAAGGAAGTGGAGCTGGGTAGTGTAAGAGTTAATACTCATCTACTGTATTAGTGGTTGTGGAAGACATTAACTAGTGTTCACTAATATCTGGTTCTTCTTGCTTCTGGGCACATAGAAGACTGTATTTCTCAACCCCTTGTAGTTGGGTGGGGCCACGTGACCAGTCCAGTCACTCAGCTTCAGGTGGAAATGCTGTGTTGCTGCTAGAATGAAGCTTAGATGATCCTGCAGCTGTCTCTTCTCCCTCTGGTGATCAAGGAGGTCTTGGGTTAAGACGGCAGAACCACAAGATTGAAACAGGCTGGCATTGCCTCATGGGATATAGTCCTAGAGACACTGAATGGACTCTGCAAGGATGAGAAATAAACCTTTATCGTGTGAAGCCACTGAGATTTGGGGATTATTTGTTACTGCCGTGTAGCCTGGCTTAACTGATACAAACTTCAACATGTACTGTGTAAAACTGATAAATTAGGAAATGGCCATTTAAGCACATTATTTAGAATTATGGAGACAATTGCCAGAAGAATAAAACTATTAAAAGTGGTTGCCTCTGGGAAGCAGGAAAGAGGAGTGAGGAACCTGTTTTCATTATAGTACTACATTACTTTTTTACACAATGTAATTGTATTACATTGGCAGAAGTAAAATTTTATAAAAAGCTGTGTTGGGGTGCCTGAGTGGCTCAGTCGTTAAGCGTCTGCCTTCGGCTCAGGTCATGATCCCAGGGTCCTGGGATTGAGCCCCACATCGGGCTCCCTGCTCTGCGGGAAGCCTTCTTCTCCCTCCCCCGCTCCCCCTGCTTGGGTTCCCTCTCTCGCTGTGTCTCTCTCTCTCTGTCAAAAAAAAAAAAAAAAAAGGTGTGTGTGTGTGTGTGTGTGTTGAAAGGATTCCCACCAAACCACTGCAGTGGGTGTCCATAGCAGGGAGGGCATGCTAGACTGGACATCTGCGGAACTACGGGTGTGGCTGGACATGGAAGGTACTGTGGGAATGGAGGCCACCCCAATGGAATGCCAGTCTGAGGAGTTTGATTTCCAATCAGATGGCAATGGGGAGCCATGGAAGAATTGTAAACAGTAGAGTATCCTGAGCAATCTATTTTTGTAGTGAGCACCCTGACTTACCTGGATGATGAATTGTTGGGGGGGAAGCTGCGTGGTCTCCGTGAGAGCTGATGAGACCTGGACTAAGACCTGCATACAACAAGTGTCTATCAAGGGCCTGTTGTTTGCCAGGCACTCCTGGTATGCCCAGCCACAGAGCAGGGAACAAGATGGACAGAGCCCCCTGCCTTTGGGGAGCATACATGGGTGAGAGAGGCAAATGGAGAGAAAAAAAGTATAAGTCAGGAGGTGGTTCATACTATAAAGAAAAATGAAGCAACTTAAGGAGACAGAGAGATGGTGGGGAGAGGGGTACTCTAGATAGGGTGGCCAGGCGTGGCCTCCCTGAGGAGGTGACATTTGAATAGAGTCCTGAATTAAGGGAAGGAACAAGCCATGCAAAGTGTGGGGTTCCAGGCAGAAGGAACAGCAGTCTGGAGGACCTGAGGTGGGAATGGACTTGATATGTCCAAGGCACAGCAAAGAGGCCAGTGGTGGGGCACGCTGGCGAGGCCCATCCGTCAAGGGGAAAGTTCTGGGACCAATTCATGGAATACGGAGAGAACCTCAGGGAGCCACTAGTGGGTTGAAAGCAGGAGAGCGGCATGATTTGTCTGATTTGGCCAGGCTTGGCAGCGGTTTAGCT